CAAACACATCAGATTTACCGACTTGGATGAGCATATGACTGCTGATCACTGAAATATAAATTGCCCTTTCAAGCTAGAGACTGAACTGGAGAAATGGATAACATCGAGTGTTTGTTCCTTCTCTTGTATTCTCTCAGTTGAAGGCTTTTAAACAAGTTATCTTTACTGTGTCTCATAATAGTAAGATTCCTAAATATCTGCGAACCTGCATGAGTTGGAAAGATCAGTAACTAAAAGGTGAACCAGGGCATGAGGAAAAAAACTCTATACTTCTTAGGAATGTATATTGCAAAACTCAGTTTGTGTGTGTGACTGGCTCACAACTAAGAAAGTCCTTTCCAGTCACTGCCTGTACTGCCATAAAATACAATTTCCTTTGTTTCAAGAAAGTTTAAGTACTTTTTGCTATACATGAACGGTAATAATTAGGGCCTAATTATAAGATGAGGCTTTGGAAGGCAAAAGAACTGTGGCAATACCACATTCAGCTGTTACTGGTGAATGTTCACACTCTAGCCTGACAAATTTTGCAAACATCGTTTCTGTAAGAATGTGCAATGTATCCTTTAATCTTTCTTCAGACTGCCGTTTCTCTGAAACCAGCTGACTGGTTTACTGTGTGTTGTATTACTGGGGCTGCAGGCGAAAAAATATTTGTGACTAAATTCAGTTTTAGTCTGTCTTGTATGGAATGTTTTACTCAGTCTTGTATGGAATCATATGGACAAAGTCCTTTTAATGTGTTTTCTGTTGTTACTGTGTCTATCCAGATACATTACCTACAGACAATTTTAGTGCTAAGCAACCTGTATAGGTAGCATATGCCTGAAGGCTACTTAGGTGATGGCAGGCTTTATTATATACAAATTAATCTTCATGTCAAGTAGATCAGTATGACTTGTATAATACCTACCAACTTTCAGTATGATCCAAAATTTCCTCTTAGGCACATGCAGGCCATTTTAGTTTGAGAAAAAACAGAAATTGTTAATTCTTGCAATCTTCCTTCAGCATGCCAAGTCATGTGATTTTTCCAGTTGTTTTTTCTGTATCTACTTAAGGTGTCAAGTGTTCTGCCAAAATGTATTCTCCTTAGTTTTTCTATGTAGTTTCTGCATTTCTGAAAACTATTTCCATTTGGTTGGGCAGCAAAGAAACTGTCTGGGCTTGAAGAGAGACAGGGGATGTGTCTGGACCAGAGAGGTACTCTCAGTCCCTCCCTTCCAGATGGAAGCCAAGCCTGGTATGGGGAGACCTCTGGAAAAGAAAATCAAACTGTTTGGGATCCCTGTCCATAGTCTCATGGGCTGGAGATGCGTGTTGTGTGTTCTTGATATCTGTGTGTGTGGTTTTAGCTTCAGGGGGAAAAAAAAGTTTAAGGCAAAACTTGAAACACTTCTGTTGAGATTTCAGAAAATAAGCTTCTTCAATAAGACGTTCATGGTAGTACTCCATAATTGTCCGGGAAAATAATTGGCATTTCACCTGAAAGGTAAAGGAAGTTGTTCATTTTTTCAAATGGGATTCTCAAAGCTTACAGGTGTTTGTTTCTGTTCTTCCATTCAGTGGGATTGTGTTTTACACCCAGGTCCAGATTGCTGTCCAGAAAAAAAAAAGTAATTTTCCTTCTCATAACTGTGGCTGTGGTGGTTGTCTTCAGTTCCATGGTGCTTGGTTCCAGACTTTGCTAGATAAGCTTGGTTTTTGCATGCTGTATGTGAATGTCCATGTCAGCGCAATCCTTGAACTCTTTTTCTTAGTTAAGAGGTGTTTGATAATTCTCTATGCTTGCTTCCCTGTTGAGAGCCTTACATTGACATCTAATGGAAGGAAAGCATTGACTTCAAGTGAGTCAAGGATTGAAACACGCAACTGCGTCTGCATTTGTGTGGTCAGCTCTCTAGAATGTGAGAGTCTGTGCCAGTCCTCTGTTTTCCTTCCTCCAGCCCTCAGTTTAACAGCTTGTCCTTTGTTTCTTCTACTGTGCATGACATTTCTGCAGGGGTGGTTTAGTTATGACTCTCTGAAAGCTGTAGTTCTGAAACATTTGAGCAACAGTTGCAGTTGAACCTTATCTCCAGTGTATGTAAGGAAGCAAGAAAACTGAACTCTGCAGAGCACATCATCTGTTTAATGGTGTGGCTTTTGTTCATGAGAAAAAAATATCTTATGGGGTACTGCTTTGGTAAAGAAACTTTAAAGTATGGAAAAGACAGAGTCTGGCATTGAATTCAGCAATCTGTAGACACTGATGTTTTCCCGGTAACCACTTCTAAGGTCTTGTTAGCTGGGTTGTTGGATGTGCGATTCACAAAGTGTTTGTTTATTTAGACTTTTGCCTAAGTCCAGGCAGCCATCTGTGTTAAACAAAATTGTTTTGAAGCTCTAAGAACGTGGATGACCGTCAACTTGCCCATGCAGATCTTCCTAGGCTAACTGTGTAGCTAGTTTCCTTTTTGGGTGCCCCTCCTTGTTACCATGTAAGGGTGCTTAAACAAAATGGGATTGGCAAGCTACAAATACTTAAAAAGGAGTTTATGGTCAGCAGAGGTTTCTGAGCTGACTTTGAACATACTTTTGAATGGTGTTTGCTACAGGTTACTGTAGTCCCTTTCATAATAGAACAAAAGATATCGTGAAAAAAAAGTTAATCTTTAATTCTCCTAATTCTTCTGTGCAGACCCTGTGCTATAGAAGATGCACTACTACCGATATTCTAATGCAGAAGTCAGCTGTTGGTACAAATACCTGCTCTTCAGCTACAATATTGTCTTCTGGGTGAGTAAAAAATGTAGAGACTGAAATAGTTTCAGGCATAGCTCAGTTTTATTAACTTCCTCCCTCTGTTCAAGAGAACAGGCTGAAATATTTACCTGAAACCAGGAAGCTGATATATGGTATGTCCCAGGTATTTTGGTATTGAAGAAGTCTGTCCCATGTTAAAAAGTAATTATTACTGAAAACTATATGGCTGCTGATTCCTCACAATCTTGCCCTTTCTTGCCTCTTCTTCCTGTCTTACCTTCTGAGTGAAGACCAAGGAGTAGAGCAGATAAAACTAATTTTCTTGGGTTTGTTTTGTTTTTTTCGTTTTTTGAAACTGAGGAGGGAAATGTCTGATTAAAGGATTTGTCAAAAGGATATAGTATAGTCTCTACTGTTGCTGACAAGCCTCTGTCTTTTGAATGATGGAGGCTATCAAATACTAAATGCTGGTTGTGTTTGGGCGGAGGTTAAAGCTACCTTTGAGTGCACTTAAGTGATGTGTTAAGTTGCTTCCCTGTTAGAAATTGCACCAATATCTCCTTTCAGGTCATCTTCGATCTGTGTTGGGATGGTGTAGTTTACAACTATGTAAGACAGTAGACAGTATGCAGAAGAGAAGAAAGGAACTGCCTCAGAGATCTGTCAAGAGCTAGCATTACAATATTGTCAAGATCTTAAATGTCATGCTCTGTGAGCAGCAAGATTATAGGCAAGCAACAAGCCTGCCTGTAATGGTTTTTTAGAATTGTGAATGTGAAAAGGGGGCAAAACCAGAGGTGTGGACAGTCATGGGGAAGTGCAGATAGAGTTGCCTGGTACTAGCAGCTTGGATTAATGTGCTGATGGAAAGTTAAAATATTTCCAAGTACAGATAGTCTTTTCTAAAGATGTTTAGATTTCTTGAGAGCTGAAAGGATTGTCTAGTAAGAATGAAACTATGGTATGTGGTTCAAGGAACTTGTTCAAGAGTAAAAATTGATTCTCCTCATCTTAACTCACCTGAGATCAGTAGACATGATAGAGAAGATTGCATTAATTCTGTTTACTGTGATTCCTTAAACCATGCCAACTCTTTACTAAAGTTTAAGATAAACAGAATTATTACCAAAATCAATGTTTAACTTCAGTAAAAAAACTGGTTTAGTATTTGAATGTAAATTGCAGGCTGCAGAATCTTGTTTGTACTTGTCATAAGCAAGGTATTTTGCTTAATTAACCAATGTAAACTTCTGGTAAGCTAGGTTTGTGTTTCTGCATATTTTGGCTGCTTTGGCAGTATTTAAGGTAGAAAATAGGCTTTTTTGAAAGCTGCAAGTATGACAGACAAAATTCTGAGTTTAGAATCGTACAAAATCTAGGTTTGCTGGAACTCCTGGAGGTGATCTTGTCCAATTTTCTGTTGAAAGGAATACTCATAGGGTAGGAAATCACTGCTCAAAGAAGAGCTGGGAGTCGTGTGATCTTCTTACTCATCAGTTTTCTGCTGTCTTCAGCCTAATAAAAATGTTAGAAAGACATGTAACACAGACTGCAATGTTTGGGAATCCTTGTTGTTGGGTATTTCGTGTTGAAAACCACTGAACTTTTTGCTGCTGTTGCCACTTCTTGTTTACTAGTGTGATGTTTTAACAATAGCATTAAACCACAGGGGATTTTTATCCTTGTGAGGATAATGGGGCAGAAAAGATGTGTGTGGTTTGTGTAGGAACTTTTTTTCCAGTGAAGAGTTAATGTGTCACAGTACTGTCATAGTGCAAATGTTTGTTAGTGATGATTTCCTTACTATCCTCCCAAGAACTGAGGATTTGCATCATGGCCTCATGTGTCAACAAGTATGTACTCAAAGCCCACCAGCTCTGTAGGTATTTTTCTTCTATGTAGAATAAAAACTCCCATGTACCAATAGTGGAGTGTGATGCAGAGAGAAGCAATGTTTGCCAGGCTGTTCTGCTTTTCAGAGAAATCAATTCCTAACTGGGCGGATGCTCTTCAGCAGAGAGCTGGGGATATATGAGAAATGGACAGACTCTTTGGTCATGGATATGTTAGGATGGTTCTAGATGTCTGCTTTTTCTAGCGAGTGTCTCATGAAATAGCGTATATTACTCATTTTGATGAGTACCTTTGAAAAAACCTTTGAAAAACTGAAATATTTTGTGTTTACTGGGAAAACTGTTAAGAATTTGCCTCCAGCTTTTTCACAGGAATTTTATATCTTCCTTTCTGCAGAATCACATTTAACTTCTGTGAGAATTTTTTTTTTTTACTGTATTCTCCTGAAATGAATGATGAAGATCAAAGGGTTTTTCTCTTGCTGCAAGAATCATTTTTAAAGAGATGCAGAAAAAATTGAGGCAAATTGGAAATACAGCTTATGTGTTGCAGCTGATCTGTTGTCTAGAGGAACTGGTGTTCTGAACAAGTACTAGTAAGTAGTCTTGGTAGCTTGCTCAACAAATGATCCGAGGCTTCTGCTGAGAAGTTATCAGGCTGACGTAGTAAATTATGTGTAACTGCAGCTCTTTGATAAGAGCTTGGCACGTTTGTAGAACGAGCCACATACGTAAATGTTGAGTGGGACGGTAGACACTCCTATGGGCAATGCATGAGCTGACACAATGATTCAGGGGCTTATGACATCCTGCTGGCTTGGATGACATCTAACAGTCTCTTAATTGTACAAATCCATCCTGTGTAGAACAGTAATTTTTCTATGTGCCTTAAAAGTACTGGAGGACTAGAAAAGCAACAGAGAAATAACCATCATTTGAAAAAGCAGCATTTAAGGAGGGAATGTTAATCTTGATTCAATTCTTCTGGCTTGCAAGATAGGTGTTTGTGGGAGCTTGTTTCATGAGTGTTTCTGTTAGTGAGGATGGCCACTATATAATGGATATAAGGGATGGTATTTAGATGTGTAGACAGCCTTTTACCCATTGGAGCTGTTACTGGAGGTGTGATGGTAGCTTACCTCTGTCTCAATTCAGGACAGTTTATTCACAAGCCAGGTACTTTGCTTGTAAGTAAAGAGTTGCATTTGTTCTTCTGTCACTCTTACTAAAGTTGCATGTTAACTTCCCCATTGTAGCTCTAAAGATACTATCAGGGACTGTGTAAACTTCAAAGTTAAAGCATATGGTCATTTAGTGACTAGTTTACAGAATATTTAAGCTCTTTAATGGGTGGTTTCTTCAGAGTGTCATGTTTCAAATTACAGTCCACATAGAGTGGGGTTGAACAACATATTGTGCTCAGGACAAATAGGACTATTTCAGTAATGGCAGAGTCATTGTTTAAACAGCCTTTAGAAATCTGTAATTCTTCATTCTTTGAAGTTGTTTGGCTTTTTTTCAGCTGGGCAACTTGGCGATGGAAGGTTCAACTGTGATGGCTTGGAGTTAGTTGTGTACGACTGGGTTGCAAAATAACTTCTCACTTCTCTATTCTTTTTGCTTGGTTTTCCCTTGTAAGAAAAGGAATGGACATTATAGGAAGACTGTCTTCCTAGGCATGATTTTAACTACTTTTTTCATCTTGCTTTTAAAGTGTGCTAGTTTTAACTTCTCCAGGTACCTTTGTTTTAATGAGTAGTGATGAGGCCCTCTTGCAACCACTAAAATATCCCTGCAGGGAGTACTCACAAATTTAAGTGAAATTGCCCTATTCCAGCAAAGCTGGTCCTCCTTTTGAATTTTAAAGTTGGGAGTTTTCTTGGTTGGCCTTTTTTTTTTTGTTGTTTTTGGGTTTGGGGTTTTTGGTTTTGGGTTTGGGTTTTTTTTTTGTTTTTTTTTTTTTTTTTTTTTGAGGGGGTGTGGTGGGAGGGGAGAGGTTGATGTTTTGTGTGTGTTTTTTTTTGCCCAAAATAGCTTCATTTGTCATAATGAAATTAAGAGACTGCAGTAATACAAGGTGAAGAGCTTGGTTCTGGCACCTTTCTATTCTGAGTCGGTTTGTAATTGAGTGAGTGTGTCTGTGAAAGCCTCAGTGGAGGGAGGAGACAGGAAGTGGATGACAGACCCCAGGGGGAGTGCAGGGGTGCCCTGTTTTGGGGTGCAGCACTGCACTATGCCTTCCAACTTGCACTTGAGAAGTGTGGGCCAGGAAATAAAAGGCAGTGCCTTAATCACCTGGTTTTCGTGCTTGCTTTGTCTCTAGTTGAAGGATTTTTTTTTTTTTTTTTTTGAGGTAGTACAAGAATTAAGCCTCAGCCAGGACATGCAGTTCTTCATGTCAGTGAAATAGTCCTGTGTGCTCTGCCAAAGGAGTTGAGATTGCATGTGTGCTCACTGTCTCTCAGGTGAACCAGCTTTCAGCTGCTGTCATCTTGATTTATTTTCTGATGCTCTGTAGCTCTGTGTGTGAGTTTGAAGGGTTTTTGGAGGAAAAAAAGTAAAGCCTTTCAGCTGTGCTATGGGAGATGTGGCATTTTTGACCTGAACATGATGATGAAGGGCAAAAATTTTCTTAAGCTCTGGAAAATAATTCTGAGCTCATTTTTAAAAGTATGAGAAAACCTGGGCTCACAGTGTATGTTATTTTTTTCAGGAACATCTAAACCAGCAAGGCTGTTCAGGAAGAGGAAAGAGTCCACCAGAAGGTGGTTTCCTGACCCTGAGAGGAAAAGTCTGGGAAGGCACAAGAATTAGGAAGGAAGGGCTGTAGGCTGCTGATTGCTCCAGCATGGGTGGAGCTACAGTGTAAAAGAATACTGTCCAGGGGGCGGAAGAAGTCTTCTCTGTAAGATGTGTCAGTTAGTGTCTGTGTTGTAAATCTATCTCCTGAACAGAGCTTGTAGCTCCATGCAGTATGTTGATGATGTGGATATTTCAGTTCTAAAGCAGGAAATTGCCAAATGCTGGTTACTAGTTTTAGTTTCCTGTTCAGAGGGATGCAGTTGAGCTGCTTTGTGTATGTTTCCATCTAACCTTTCATGACGTTTATGGCTTAAATGACTCCATGGCATAGAATTGAATTGGGTAGTCCAGTTTGTTCCTGCTTACGTGTTGTCCAGATTCTGGTGAAAGGTGAATTTTGAAATGCCTCTTTGAAATAGTTGGCTTGCTTACTCTTGCACTGGGAACACTCTAGTTGGCCAGTTAGTTCAATGGGCTGATGAAAGTTAAAACTTCTTTCAGTTCAGGACGGATCAGTTCCCTGGTCTGTGTCGTAGCAGTCACTCGAGTGCCTCTGTGCAAGAGTGGTAAAGAGAGAGTATTTTCCTGGTGTTAATTCTCTGTGAGAACTCTGTATTGGGTATGCTCCACGATGCTAACTTCTGAGGAATTTCTGTCATCATGGTGTGTGTTACAGTATTTTTCAATGAGACACTTTAAAGTATCTTGCACATGATATTTAAAGCAAAGAAATCTAATTCAGTTAAATAACTACCATTTTACTTCCTTGCAAAGTGGTTGTCTTGGTAATTGTGCCTGTAAATGTAATGGCTTTTTCTTCTGCAAGTGCATCATACTTCATTGTTTTTTGCTAAAGAAAGTTAATGTGTGTGGCTTGGTGGCTTCAAGTGAAAACTGAGTTGCTTGTCCTAGCTGAATTACATTTTAGGTTTATCCGTGTTGATTCTACGAGACTAAGTTTATTTTACTGCTGATAAATTGTTTTACTCGTAGATAGTTTGGATAGGTGCTCATGGAAGTAAGTTTGCAAAAATAGCATATTTTGGGAAACTAAACACAATAAAAACCTGAGCGCAATGTTCATGTTCAGAGATAAGAATAAAGCATACTACTGAAAAATCTACTTAAACAAGAATCTATTATGACTTAAGATGGTAATTATAATGAAAGGCAGCCAGTCTGAATAGGACTGTGTATATATTTAATAGCACAGTATTAGTGTGGTATACATAGTAGTAGTTTGTATACAGAGTGTGGAAAATGTCTTCCCAGTTCCTTTTTTATCTTTTTTTTTTTTAAAAGCACCCAAAGATCCAGCTGTGTCTACTGTACATATAACTTACCCTGATTACTTCAGATTATAGCAGCTGTCTTCACTTGTCTTCCAGCATTCCTGGAGCATTTGGAATGAGTAAGGATGAAGGATGCATCCATTGCATGCACTGTGTAACTTAATGAAATAGAAGCTTGATGACAGATCTTTTCTTTTTTCCTATTTTGCTTGTTCATCTGAAAATCACTGGCTTAAGATTTTAGGGGTTAGCTGGGTCAATATTACGTTTATATCTGTATGTTTTCTAAAAGTATTTCTAATGTGCTCCAGTCCAAATCACTACGTTAGATATTCTTAGCTTACTCTGAGGTGAGCAGTCGTTGTGCCGTTGCTTATTAAAAAACATCTGGAAATTTAACTTTATTAGCACTACTTTGCCCACTTGTAACTCTACCCATGTATTAGTATGAGATTTGCATGGCTAATCTGTGTACTTAAGCCTTAAAGGCATATAATACTTCATGGTGAGAGCCCTGTTTTTGCTGATTGCCTACACTCTGGGGAATTGCCTGCGATGCCCATTTAGTTCATGGGAGGTGCTGTTTCCTAGAGGAAAAGACCCCTTTTTCAAGGCATTTTTTCAGTTGTTAGGGTTTACATGTTAATGTACATAAGGCTTTTGTGGGGGAGGAGCAATGCTTTATATAGAATTCTCAATCCTTTATAAAGAATTACAGACTTGTTTAGGTTGTGAAAGACCTTTAAGATCAGTGAGTCCAGCTGTAAACCTGACACTGCCAAGTTCACCACTACTCCATGCTCTTGAGTACCACATCTACACATCTTTTAAATACCTCTAGGGGTGGTGACTCCACCACTTCTCTGGGCAGCTTCTTCCAATGCTTTACAACACTTTCCATGAAGAAATTTCTTGAGATCTAATCTGAATCTCTTCTGGCACAACTTGAGGCCTATCACTTCTTACTTGGGAGAAGAGACTGACCCTCCATGCTGCTACAGTCTCATTTCAGGTAGCTGTAGAGAGCAAGATGATCTTCCCTGAGATTCCATTTCTTCAGGCTAAACAACCCCAGTTTCCTCAGCTGCTCTTCATAAGGTTTGCGCCCTAGACCCCTCACCAGCTTCATTGCTCTTCTTTGGATGTGCTCCACCATCTTGATGTATCTTATGAGCATAGCAGGGTAGAATGCCATTTTAAGTAATGAGGGGGAGCTGCCCCCAGTTTTTAGAGAGGTAATTTTAATTTGATTATTGAAATTGGATATTGAAGACAAACTGCCTGAGAATGGAGAAAGGGAATAAAAGACTAGAACAAGGATCTCTTATTTGGGTGAATATAATTCAGAACTATTGTATTATTAGACAAACATGAATTGATGTAAGGTTTGTATGTTGTCAGTTGGATTTGTTGCTTATTGAAAATGGATGGGCCATTACTTCAGCTTAATTCAAAAGGGCTTAAATAAGGTAATGATTTAGAAGACAGACTATATCTGATTAGAGAAGAGGCTATTGAACCCTGACACTGAGAAGTTATGAACAGTCAAACATGCCTACTGTTTGGGGGTGGTACTATAAAATGACTAAACAGGGAATAATCTCAAAATGCATTAGATAATCTGAAATCTTCATCAGTGTATGGGAAAAAGGTTTAGAGCAAATCATCGGGACAAAGATAACTCCCACTTGCATGCTGTGTGGAATTGTTAATTTAGGAGTCTGCTTCTTGAGTCATCATGGATAAGCAAATTGTAGTAATTTTTAAAATTTGTTTATAAAATGCAAGAATGTTATGAAATAACTAAATCCTCTTTGCATGAGATTTACTCTTGGGGAGGAATGTCTTATTACTATTGTCTGAGATTACAGACAATATTTGTTTCACTTGAGCAATAGTGCTATGGGCTAAGTGTTTTGAGACTGTATTGGTTAGTTTATCTAATTTTTTTTTTTCCCTTTTTGTTTTAGCTAGCTGGAGTGGCCTTCCTTGCAGCTGGTCTGTGGGCATGGAGTGAAAAGGTAAGGGTAGAAATGACTGGTCTTACCTTAGTGTCTGCCCTCTTGTGCCCCCTGCCCTAGTAAAACTGCTTCCATAGGAAGCAGCAAAGGTTAAATGTAGCATCTGAGCTCAGGATTGTGTTCAAATGACTTAACCTGAGTTTAACTGGAGTTTCATTCTTGTCCTTGGTCAGGTGGTACACTGTGGACCATTTAGACCTTTTATTGTACACTTGTAAGAGCAGGATGCTAGGTAGAATTTAATCTTTATGAATAGTCTTTATGAGCTGGTTCTCTTCTGAAAGCATGTTTTCTAAAATACATTTCTGCCCACCTCTTTTTTACATTCCTCCCACATGCTTCTTGTTTTTAATAAATATACCTCTTTTTGTACTAAAAAAAACCCTCAACATGCATCTTTGGAACCATCTTTCTGAAATATTCCAATCTTACGGTCATCTGTTGTCTTCTGCCTTTTTCCCATAGAGTTGCTTAAGTGATTGTGTCTCCACGTTTTGACCAGCGAAATAACACTTACTTTTGGTAATTTTTTTTTCAGCTGAATAACTTCCTCAGTCAGAGGTGGTCTGTGTGGGCATGTACCTACAGACTTCTCCTGTTACAAGAGAAGATCCTTAGAGGGATGAGTGAAATGGAAGCAGATAGTCCTCTGAATTTTCTTGTTTACTTTCTTTCTTCAAGATTTTTCACTTAACATCTTCTGTTACACAAAAAAAACCCACAAACAAACAAACAAAAAAACCAACCTCAACTTCTTTTCAAAAGTAAATGTTGTAAAGATCAAGTGTTTCTAGTTCACAACATCTTCATGTTCACATCTGAGAGTGAACAATAGAGCCCTCTTCCAGCCAACTTATCATAATATGCTTTGATTAGAGAAAGTTTTCTTCCAAAATAGTATGTTGCTTAAGCAAGTGAGATTGACTTGAAAAAAAACATGTTTGGATGTGGGAAGGACATAGCTGGAGGTATTTCTGAAAATTTCAACATCCTTGTCACAGAATGTTTAGTTTCATAGTGTATTGGTTCTACAAAGACACTGTGTTAGCTTAGTTAATTTTGTCTTTCTTGATGGTGGGGTCTAAGCCAAGGTTAGATTAGGTGGGACTTTCATAACTAACCCAGTAGACCAAGTCTGATAGTTAGCTAGAGGTCTGGCAGTTGTAAGAATGGCAATGTATCAGTGGTGACACTAACTAGAAAAGTCTTTACTTTCCAAGACTTTCTGAATGCTGGGAAATCTATAAACTGTGCAATTTTTAATAAGCTATTTCAACTGTTAGTCACCAGCTATTGCAAGGCAATCTGAGTTCTACAATTCAATAATATTTTACTTTTCATCCCTTCAACCAGTTTTGGTAAAAAGCTGTTGTTTTGCTGTTAAGTTAATAGTGCTAACAAGACCTGCTAGGAAACACGTTATAAAAGAAGATGAACTCCTCTAGTATCACTGTAGCACTGTTAATCAGTGTCTACAGCAGCTGATGAAATTTCTCCATGTGCACATTTTCTTCTAATGCTATATTTTGAAGAGATTATTTTTAAGTAAGCATTTAGATACAAAGTATTATTGATTTTTTTTTTTTCCCAAGGTGTTCTCTTAGGATGTATATTCTTTGCATAAATACCTAGGTAGCAAGATGAGAATTTACATTCCTTTGATGGAATTAGACTAATTACATGTATTACTTTGAATCTCTCTGTTGTCTTTCTCTTCCACTAAGCTTTACTTTGTAAAGTATATTCCACTTGAGAATAGAAAAAAAAAACAAAATACAAAGAAAAAAATAGTAAAAATATAATTATGGGATATTGTACTGTGGTGTTTTTCATTATTTCTCTGTTTTAAAGGGCAAGTATTTCCTTATTAAAATACTCTGTGTATTGCTGATGTGTGTGATGAACAGTCACCTGTTGCAAGGCTGCCTGAGTGTCCCTACCAATTGTTATTATTCACTTCAAGAGTTTCAGCTGTTTGTCTGTGTGTTGCATCTTGTTCTTGCACAGTACATGGCAAGCTTGTGTTATGTATTTGATGGAATTTTAATGTACCTTGTATATAAACCTAGCTTCTTTAAAAGCTAATCTAGAAATAAGGGATTCAACTGTGTTAGCATTGCATTTAAATAGACTTATAACTGTCTTAAGATCTATGCAGACAGGCTTAAATAGGTAAGGTCATTGTCAAGATAAGTGGCATATCTGGATACGTGTATCTGGATAGATGGTAAATTAGGCAAGCTGCAAGTATCTTGTAGAGACTAGATAACTTCTTTTGCTGTAAGAATTTTATCTGGAGTGAAAGGGGAATATTTAGACTATACTTCCATATCTTTCAAGATTTTGTAGGAGCATTCCTAAAACTATTCAGCACTAGAAGAAGTATAACTAAAATGGTGAGAGGAAAATACTACTTCCTTTGAAAACCAAAGTAAGATTTTGTTTCCTCCCTTAAAATGTCACCTCTAACCTGCTTTGTAGTTAGAATGTCCCTCCCTTTCTGCCATATAAACTTTAGGGTTGGAAAAATTGTTAATTTTTTTTCTTTTAAAGACTTGGAAATTGGAGTGCCCTTCTGATTGATGCATTTCAAGTTAACAAAAAGCTTTATTACTTTTGCCTTGAAACTAAATGAATATTCAAGTGATAGTATTGAACTTTTGGCACCATCTTGTGGAAGCTTTTTTAGCAAATAGACTGAGGACAATGTAATCTGAGAAGCTGGCTGCACTGGATTTATTTATTAAAAGGATAGCTAGAACTTTTCATTAGTACTTGTTCTGCTAGGGTGAAAAAAACTTATCAATAACCATTTTACAATAAGACTTTTCTATGTGGGCCACTGTTGCCAAGCTCAAGGGTTTGCAACCAATTCATTTGGAATTGTGGAAATCGTAGACATCCAGAAAAAATGTTAAATCAAAAAACATGCCTATAGTGGTCACCTTTTTCTGTTATGCTGTTTTTTTATTTTTCAGGGTGTATTGTCTGATCTGACAAAGGTGACTGGTCTTCATGGTCTGGATCCAGTGGTGCTTGTCTTAGTCGTGGGAATAGTGATGTTTACTCTGGGATTTGCTGGCTGTGTAGGAGCACTGAGAGAAAATATTTGCCTTCTGAAGTTTGTAAGTAACATTATAGGAGTGGATTATTATGTGTATGAAAGCTGGGAATCATGGGTGAAGAACTAGTAGCAAACCCAGATAATTTATAGATTTTTTTTTTTTTTTTACAATATATATGGTAAACTTATTTTCTTTGTGAATCTGTGAGTAATAGTATGAAAAGCAGTGTAGGTTCAAATCTATGGGTGTTTTCTCCTTTCTGGAAAGTGTTTCTTCCCTTGTTCATTCTTTTGTATAATGCTGTTATTATAGTATGTATGCCAGAATCTAGCACTGTGTATCCACTATCACAAAACATGAAGTTCTGGAACGTATTTAGTCAGGATTTACTGAGAGCAGATGGTATGGAGGCTAATATTTCTAAACGTTTGATGGGTAAAACTTGCGGGCTTTAGTGACTCGTGAAATCTTAAATGGTTGATTTTATACTGGGGCTTCTTTGCTTTAGATCTGAAAACTCTTAATCTGGACAAAAGAGTTATAAAACTGGAAACAATGCAAGAAGCAAGACCAAGACAACTTTAGCCCTGTGTTTTGCAGATTTTCATTTATTAGTGTTTTTATTGCTGTGCATAATGACTGTAGTATGGTGCTTATTTTACTGTCAAGTTCAGGTGACCAAAACAAAAAGATAACTTTACCTCTTGATGGTTTCTTTATGTTGTGTTCTTATTTAACAGGTTGTATTCTCACACTTTCTGTACTGAGTGAGAATTTCAAGCTAATTCTCTGTCTGTTTCTGGTGGTGTTGGAGTAGGGATGCATTCAGAATGAATGGACACTTTCTAATTTGGGACTTTTTTTTACAGTTCTGTGCAGCTATTGTGTTTATATTCCTGCTGGAGCTGACAGCAGCAGTTCTGGCTTTCCTGTTCCAGGATTGGGTGAGGGACAGGGTCAAGGAATTCTTTGAGAATAACATTAAATCCTACCGAGATGATATTGACCTCCAGAACCTTATTGATTCACTACAGAAAATCGTAAGTTTGTATCCTGGCACTTCTTTGATGCGTTCTAGGAGCACAAGTAGATTTTGGAATGTTTCCTTTGTTACATACTCTGTAGCTAATAGTGCTGTGTTACAGATGTGCTTTTCCTGCATTCAAAGCATCAGGAAGGGAAGATATTCTGGGATAGCACTGTCCTAACAACATGTGGAAATTCTGCCAAGTATCTGTCTGCCTTTTGAGCTTCTTGACTTGTTCCTCTGTTCTGATCAGTGTTCCACCAGTTTAAGTGAGAAGTGTGTATGTGGGGGAACCAAACAACCCACACCTTTATTCTGAAAAGAATTGTGCAATGGAACTGGTAGTCTGCACACTTCATTTTAGGAGGCACTGCAGTCTTGTACAAGGTCTTTTATCTTCCAAGGTACACTTACCTAGAAGCAAAAGAGGTTTTTAGTTAACTAGGAAAAGCTGGTCTCTAGTCAAGCAGTTGTCAGGGTAGGTTGAAACAATTTTATACTACTGTGGTCCTAAAATATTCAGTTACTAGAAGATGATGCACACCTTACTGTGCTAGTAAGGGGCTAGTGGCTTTCATTCAATTGGCTGCTTTTGAATCATGTTGAAGAAACAACCAGTGATAATGACTTCTGATTTTTAACTACATAAATTTAAAAAAAAAACGTATGGAGAGAAACAGTACATGTGTGAGTACTTGATGAAGAGTTAAAATGGTTCTTTCTTTTATGTTTTTTTTCTCCCTTATGAGGGAAGGTTGTGTTTTGTCTGTCTTCCATCTTCTGGAAGATCATGTTTAGAAACCTGTGCTTACAGCTGTTTGACAGAAAAGCACGTTTTGGAGTGGGTACCAGTTTGGTTAGCTGTATATTACCAGCTTGTTTGTTCACTCTTCTGTGCGCTGATATGGAAGTATCCTCTGAGTTGCCTGGATGTATTTCAGTGCTGTTTTGCTTTAGCTTTTGATGCTAAGGGCACCTTTTTGTAAGGCAGGGCTCCTCCTGGCTGTGACCAACTACTGATGAGTAGTTGTCTGTGTTGTCAACTCTGTTGTTCTATTTATCTAGTTTCAGTGTAGTCAGCCAGGCTAATACTCTAAACTGATTTACAGCTGAACTCCAGTCAAGTACTTTTAAGTGGAAATAAAAGACTGAGCTTACTAAAAGTTCACTAGCCAGATAAACAAGCTAATACCCCGGAAAAAAGACCAGAAAAATCTCTAAATCAGCGTGTTGTTGATTCATACCAGAAAGTGCTGAGGGTGGAGGGGAAGTACACAACATGGATTAGCATATGTGGTTCTGTAGGGGTTGAACAACAAGGTACGGCAGTGCTCTCAAAAAGTTCATTGTAGCCCATCTTCAAAGGAGCCACCCACCTTGGTGACGTGCTCTGTTCCCAGTGTGTGCCCTGGGACCCACAAAGTGTGTGCCTTTTTGTAGGCAGCTTCTTGTGCTGGCTGGCTTAATTACTTCCAGGCCTGTAAGTGACCTCATAGTCTGTACCTTACTAAGATAGACTAACATGTTTAGACAAAGGTGTAGAATTGTGAAGGAGGAGGGACTATAAAGAAAAAAAAGTATTTTGCTTTTTTTGCAGTAAATATATTGGTGACTTAAAGTCATGGTTTTGTGGTGGTTTTTTTCTTTCCTGTCTGTTCTGTTCAGCTCTTTTTAGTCATATTTCATGTGAAAACTGTATAAACAGTTCTCTTCTTTGTTATGACTGACACAGGCATGAACAATAACTCCATTTACTGACATCAAGTTCTGGTAGTCTCACAGAGTTAGGTTAGTACAAGTTTTGTGAAGGGCAGCAGGCAGAGGAGAGATACTAGAGATATCCTGAGAAGATGGAACTTCATGAGGTACCAGGAAAATCTCTGATGGTATAACATTTAAAGTACTCAAATTACAGAGAAAGAATTACACCCTTAAATATCCAGGCCAGTAAAGCGCAAACCATAACTTAAGAGCTTTCATTAGTTCCAGGAATTGAATGTTCCTTGAAATGTTGGGATTTTCTTAACCTGCAATTATTGTAATTACTTTACACTATTTAGATTAAGAAACTTGTGTGAAATACTTCTAGAGTTGATTAACCTTTTGAGCAAGTGAGACTTTATCAATGAGTAGATCTGAGAACCTCCTTTAAAAGAAGGGAAGTATATTTACAAATGTTTGGATCCACTTTTCACAGTAAACCAAGGAGAATAAAACTCATTGACTTATGAAGATTTAAGGATGGAGTCACAAACTAGAAGAAACATTTTAAAATTTTTTTGTTTTGTTTTGGTTGACTTGGAAATAATGAGGTACAAAGCATTTATATGAACTATGGTGGTGCAACATTTATGGATGTATGCTGATTGCATCTAGCAATTACATCGAAAGTGAAAATTTTTGTCATTCTGATGCTTATTTCCAGGAACAGTATGCCAAGTGTTGCCATTAATTGTGCATAGCTTTAGACAAAGTGAAGATGATGAACAAATATCTTTCCAGAGAAGTTGTTCAGTGGATAAATTGTCTCTAAAATCCCCCCAAATGCGGTTTATCTGTTGCAGAACCATTGCTGTGGTGCCCAAGGTCCAGATGACTGGGACTTCAACATATACTTTAACTGCAGCAGTGAAAGCAAAAGTCGTGAGAAGTGCGGCGTCCCTTTTTCCTGTTGTATACCTGATCCTGCTGTAAGTTTTCTGGCTTTGTATTGTTCTGATGTTGTTGCAGAGTTATGAAAGGAAGTGCTTTCTGAATAAAGTGTGATGACTAGGGCTTTAAAAGGTTTTCTAAACGATCAAAAATTGCTCTTGAACAAACTCTCTTCATGTTTGTTTCATCCTTTTTAGAATCCAAATGTGACAGCCTATAATGCAGCTAAAAATGTATTGTTACCAGGAATTCAAGCTATTTTTGTATAGCTTGAGTCTGCAAGTACTGGTGACTGAAATTTTTTTATTCCCAATGTGTTGTTTCCTCGATTTCCTGCCTTCCATTTTCTAGTTTGTAAAGATCTGAGAGCACTGTGTAAGCAGTGAGTATGCACCAGTTAGAATTAAGAAGTAACTCTGTTTGCTGATTGTTTATCAGCCCTAGTAAAGTGCTCATGCACAAACTTGGCATAAAGCATTTGAGTCACTTCTCTGTTTTGGGGAAGATTTAGGAGCTTATTGGTTGGATCTGTTTACTAAACTTCAGAAATTGGACTACTTCAGTGGAAAATGCACAGGTAGGAGCTAATGTGTAATGCTTTATAGTATTAGTGTGAATAGTTACGGCTCAAAGTCAGTCCAGCAATCCTCAGGCAGAACAGGTAGCCATTGGTGGATTATACTAAAGCTTTTAATTTTTGGAAATGAGCCAAGAAAGTCTTTATCTGGGAAATATTCCATGTTCAGATTGCCCAGTAATTATTTTCTACTTTAATTTGGAGCAGTACTGGTCCACTGCAACTCTTTTTTCTGTTGCTGGTGCTGTATTTAAGGAGGCATAAATATGTTTTAAATATTTTAATATTTAATCTCTTTCTAATATTTCAGTGTACCCCACAATGCATTGTGTAAATTATGTTATAATTGTGTCATTTTTTTCATAAATCTTCATACAAAGAAAACATGTCTTAAAAGGGCTATATTTGAATCTTTAGAGATAAATACAGCCATGGGGTTGTGTGTGGTTGTGACCTGGAGGGCGTTTATGGTCTTCCTACTTGGGATCTGCAACTGGTGTGTTTTGTCTTCCAAGACTAGGTATACCTTGGAGCTGGGTTATATGTGAGACTTTGAAACATAAACTGAGGGGCTCAAGTAGCGTGCAGCTATTACTTGTTCTAACTGACTGGGATAGCATGTTGTATACTAGTAGAAATGATGGAGATGTAAATAAACCAGCCTGGTCCCTTTATTGTCACCTCCATCAGTGTGCTATGTGAAGTAGCTAAACTGATCGTGGAAACGCAGATCTCTTACCTGTATGCTGGCAGCACAGTTGCTGTCCTTCACACTAAAAAGCCCTTGCTGGTTGAAAGCCAAGTGATGGAAGCAGCTAAGATTTCTGGTGGAAAATGTTTTCCTGCTAGTGTACCCCTCTGCTTTGTCATTACTTTTGTGTTCTGCTAGTGCTCTGCTCATTTTTACTAAAAATGCTTCTTAAAATGGTTGGTTCTGGCAGTCATGATTTGTTCATGAATCTGAAAGACAGAAAATCCTCCTGTGAACAGAGGTGACTAGAATTCAGTTGATTTATTTTAAGTCGTCTTTTGTTTTGCAGCAAAAAGTTGTGAATACACAGTGTGGCTATGATGTCAGAAAGAAGGTAAGGGATCTTACTGACTCTCATATTCTGTGCCTGCATAGGCAAAACTATAAAAACAGTGGAATTGCTGATAAATGTGTCACCTTGGAACAAATGACTGTACTACCTCATGGTGGCATGGCAGAGATTTTCCTTTGTTTCAAGTAAATTTGCACTTGGGAGGGTGGAGAAAACAAGTGGTGGAACAGGTAAAAGGAAAGGTGGGGTTAAAAAACGGATATTCTGAATTCTGTTATCTGCTAATTCTAATAACAGGATTTGCAAGAAGATGCTAACGTCAGTGTCCAACACTGTCTCATTTAATCTGGGCGTATATGTATTTCTGGAGTCTGGTTAAAAACATGACTGCATAACTGACAAGTCATTAGTTTAGCTATGTCATGTGATTGACTGATCTTATAAACTTGAGCAGAAAAGTAATATTCTTGTTCTTCCTCTCTACATTCAGAGCAAGAGTCAATGGGATGATCAGATTTTTGTCAAAGGTTGTATTGTTGCTCTTGAAGCTTGGTTACCCCGAAATATCTACATTGTTGCAGGTGTCTTCATAGCTATCTCATTGCTCCAGGTTAGTTGGTTTTGTTACACTAATTTGAGAAGTTTCAAGTTTTCAGGTACAGACCTGCTGAAGGTAAAAGTAGTTATGAGGGAAGTAAATGTTTTGACATAGAATTTTTATTTTTAAAGGTATGAGAATAATATAGCAAAAAACATTAAAAAATACATGCAGTGTATTGTGATAAATTATTAATACTACTGTATGCTAATATATGATTATTATATAAAACAACATGACACAATAATATTTCTTACATTTCAATACAGCATGAAGAAGAGGAGGTTTTCTGGTCATTTATTCCAGTTGATCTGAACTATGACCTATCCCAAATGTGAAATGACTAAAATACATTTCTGTTCTTTGTGGCAAAATGAACACTCAGCTGACTATAAGTGACATGTAGCATACTGCTTAGAAATATTGAGAAGAGATGATCAGGGAAATTGGTGAACAGGTTGCAAATTTAATATTAGCAGAACCAGATGGAATTGCTGACTTCTTCCAGTACCTTGTTGGTGTTTGGTAGATCTAAGAAAAAGAACCAAAGTACTCAGTAAAACATACCAGGTTACTTCTTTCAAGGTGGATCCAGCTGTCATTGTGGCAGTTGTTCTCACTTGCCTAAATTTCATTAGTACGGTACTGCTTCACTTCAGTGGGGAATAACAAACTTCTAGATCTACTGCAGAACATATTTTGCATTTGACTGAAAATAGCCGAGTGTAGAGTGCTGGCAAAATACCTTATCCCACCCATAGCAATACTGCCCTCTGCTTGGTTTTTGACACTTTATCACCATCTAATAATAGTGGTTCAATGACTTTGAGTGATGCTGTCCTCAGAGCAACACTTTTGGTTAGGAAAATGTTCAAGATATGAAGTCTAATCTTTTGGCAGTGAGTTAACTGTCAGTAACTTAGCGGCTCATATGTTCTGAGTCTCTGTGAAACTACTTCTGTGGTCACTTGTATTTTCAAATTTGGTCTTTCTTCTGCATTAAACTATTTCATAATGGGACTGAGAGTTGGACATAGCCTGACTACTTCTAAAACAGGTCTTTTGGCTTTTCCAAAACTTCACCCCAGTCTTCTCTTGTTTTTCTAAGAATGCTTCAGGAAAAGTGCTGCATTATGAAATGATCTTCAGTTTGTAAAGGAAGATTTCCCTGAGAACTTGAGTGAATGTTAAAATTTAAAATTTTAACATCTCAGAATAATCTGGGACTTCTCTCACTACTGTTTGTGACCAGAATTTCATTTTATTACAGGTCATTCTGTACATTCTGTATGTGTTTTAAAAAAATTACCAGAAAATTGACTGGATTATCCAAAGTTGTGGAATAAATGCAAATGCCTGATTTGTAACTTTAGTAATAGGCAGGTGTGTGTGTTCTAAGACTAAAACTAGGATAAGTGGATTTCTTCCAGCTCCACAGCATCTAGCGGCTTTGATTTTGAGTGCTCCTGTAGTATTACATGAAAGTACCTTTCTCACCAGTTTTTGCCTGCAAGATTCTGCTAGCTTTTTGACTTTTTAGTAATAGGCGTGTTTTGATGGGTGATCTTGGCTATGAAATGATATCTGCAAACATTTCATAAGTGAATGTCTTTATTCATAAGAGTGGTTTTGCTGACATCACTGCAGCATAATTGGAGTACATAAGTAGTTTCCCATTCTGCTGTAATGACTAATGGTGATAGGTTCTAATTTTTAGAAACATCCTGCAGACAGCTATATTAACAGTGTTTCATCTCACAAATGTATTTATTTGTTGTGTTTTTTTTTTTTCTTTTTAGATTTTTGGGATTTTCCTAGCCAGGACATTGATTTCTGATATTGAAGCTGTAAAGGCGGGTAATGCCTTCTGAATATAAAAGCAGACACGTGTTGCAAAAATATGTTTTACCTGTAGTGATTGGACACCAAGGTGGAAGAAACGCACAGACCGTGAAGGACTCCTGTTATTAAAAACCTTATGTGGATTTTACCTGCTCATGCTTTTTGTTAGAAGCTGGTACAAAAAATAATCCAAGCACACACCCACTCACCTTTTTTCTGCCTTTTTTTCTAATGAGATAACTTAGTGCACCGGTGTTATCTCTGGGAGCAAAATGGAATTTCACAATATATTGGCGGAACAGATTTTAAAGATTGTAGCAACAAGACATGAAACTGCTTGTAAACACTTTCCTCCAAGGATTACTGTGAAGATTGTTGGCTTTACTCCCAACTGTTGTCAGTCTCAAAATGTAATCTTTTCAGAAGGTGTGCTGATTTCTTCAGAGTCTTGAAATTGTTTTAATCATTACAGTTGACTCATGCAGTCATTTTTTGGCAAGATACCCAGCATCCATAGTTGTCGTGGTATGGGAAATTGGAAAAAAAGTCACAAATTGTCTAGTTCTCTAATTGGTTTTCAGTTGTGCAGAAATAGAGATATTTTCGTTTGACTGGGAATAACATGGATGTCTCAGGAGCAGGAACTTGTGCTCAGCATCAGAGCTTGAATAATCCATGCTGTTTTGAAAATTCAAGCCTTTTCTCAAGAGGGGGAAAAATCTATCTGTAGCATTATATGTTAGAAATGCTTTTCAGGCAAGGAGGTGTGAGTCGTTGATGCTGATTCCTGTCTGAAAAAAATGTAAATTTTTTTTTTTTATTTCTAGAAGGAAAAACTCTTTAAAAATGCTCTAGCATTTTATTGTTCAGTAATATCTTTTAAATATCTATATCTGCAGTAATTTCAAAATGTAGCTTGTTTCAGTAGGTAGCAAGCATGCTATGCTAGCTGTTGATGGCTTTTGCCTTTCCTCTAGTTTCTGTCTCTAGTTTCTGCACTGTTGATCTTCACAAGTCCTAACTGCTCATATTAGGACTGATGAAAAATGTTTAAATCAGCATTGATCCCTACTGAAATCTATTTTTTTTTTAATGAGGAAATACACATTTAGCGAAGGATTAGAGTTTTTGAATTTTTAAGTCTTCTATAAAGCTGTTGCATTATCAGTCTGCTTGTACTCTGATACATGCTTCAAATGCCAGTCACAATGTGATGAACCAGAATTTCTTCACAGTAATTTTCTGCATCTGAGAGATTCCT